ACCCCCAGTCTCATCCCCTGGAGTTTAGACGAAAGATACTCCACAATCTTAAATAAGAACCTCTATTTCTTAAAGCTGATTCAGATTTTTCAGAAAAAAGTATCGCCATTTGGCATACAGGTTGTGGCATTTTGGCTCTGAAGTGACGCTGTAATTTCAAAATGAAGATGGCGTTAACATTTTTTAAAATATAGATATCTCGAAAAATATTTGTCGAATCACAAAAATAAAAATAGACTTGTTTGTTTGATAATTAGATAAATCTATCTAAGGATCTCAAATTCGACTCTCTATTGCTAGGGTTACTCCCGGAGGTAGGGTCTAATTTGCCCTATAGAATCACCTAAAATCATTTTGAAATCTGTTTGGTAACAAGTTTCTGAATTCGTCATAACACAATGCACATAATATCACAACAACGTGGGAAAAATAAATAAAACTCTTAAAATTTGTTAATTTAAACTTTCAATAGCTTTGATTTCCTTATAATTTAGAAAAACTCAACAATACTAAACAAGTTTAATTTAAATTTGTACTCACATAGTTGATATACAGAGTCACATAGTTGATACACTGAGTTACATACTTTGATACTCAACACAAATAGTTTGGTCTGAAACTCAGTTGTAATATCTTCCACACAACTGTGCAACAGAAATGTACATAAAATATTTTCTAGTCAATTATAGAATTTCCAACACTTGAGATAAAAAAATAATTCTTCAACCACACGCAAGTCATTTAGTCAAAACAATCAATTCATTATTCACTTCCATATATACAAACAAATACACCCACAATGTGTGTTTTTAGAAACTATGATGTGTATTGTTTACTTTAATTTTTTTTTTTTTCTACATTCGAGTTTTTGAAGTGATACTTTTTATGCGACTTCCAACAAGGTTGCGTTAAACGTTTAACGCTACATTTTTATTGGCCGGGAAATCACGTGGTAGGATCCAGTTTTCCCTCATTCATTTCCATATTGTTTTGGTTCTCACTAGCATAAAAATAATAAAAGTCATAAAAGTATTGTTTTTCTATAAATATTTTTTTAGTTTGTTTTGATACACATATAATTTAATAGGGTAGTATTTTTTATTTTCAAATTTAGTGGATAACAATTGTAAAAAATGAGTGAAAACAATCCCACGGACAATGCGACGGATTTAAGGTTATGTCAAGGTACGTCTCTTGTGAATATCAATTGATTGTTAGGTTTTCTCTTTTCTAATTGCCATTTATATTTCACCAAATGCAGCCATGAGGGATATTAAACTATTTATTGCAAAATCTTTATTGTCACTATCCACTGCAGGTTCACAAGCTCTGGCAGACGTTACTGGTGAAGAAATTGATTATTGTGAGCGACCTGTGATCCTTGCAGGAGATTTTTGTGTGAATTTCTCGTTACCTGAAACATTATTAACCTTCCTTAAAGAAAAAATTTGGATTGGAAATGATAAATGGTAGGAATGATCCAACAACCAAAGGGGGAACTACCATTGATGCAGTTTTTGCAAGAAATATTGAAAAAATAGAACTCAAACATTTCGTTATCTTACTTTATCGACTTTCGTATCTTACTTTAGTTATCATAATCCCATTGTAAATGTTATAGATTTGGATATTTCTCCACTCGAAAATGATAATTAAAAGATGCGATCAATTGTGAATTGTAAGCATTGTTAATAAAGTTTGTCTTAAAGAAACAATATGATTTCACTAAAAATCAATTTCTACCCCTTCCTATTTTCATTTCCACATTACGAAGTTTCACTTCTTCCGCGCGGAGGGATTCCACGCACTATTTTTTTTTCTACATTCGAGTTTAATAAGTTTTTTTTCTTTCTTATAACCAAATGCATTTTTTAGGACTAATAACGAACTTAGTTTTTAGGCACTATTTGCATTAATTTTTCTGTAGCGTACAATATTCTAGAGTTGTTAACGACAGGATGGAAATCCCATCCTGCAACAGATATGATCGGGACACGAACCTGTGATCTTTATTGTCCATATTGGGGAACTGAGTCTCTCGGTCTACAGCTCTCTGGGTCAGTATAATAAAATAAAATCCGTGGTAAGTGGTACAGATACATCAACTGTTTAGGAAAAGGCTATGGGTTCTGACACATGATATCAGCGGTAGATACAGTATATCTATGCATTAGTCAGATAAATGATCAAACACATTTTTTTATTTTTTTTTGCTTTTATAGTTTGAGTTGAGCATCAAATTGTACAACTCTTCTTTTAATAAGTACCAACATGGATAAGAAAAAAAATAGTAGATTTTACGAAATAACATACATTTCATGATAATAGTTGAATAATGTGCTAAATATTTCACACATGGGGAATTTTAGGGACTTTTATAGTCATTAAAATAGAAAAACTGCAATATTTTCCAGTTATGATTGACATTAAACTTACATGAAATGTTATGTATCATGTTTACTTATAGTTTCGAATATTAATAGGCATTTAATTCATCAAAGATAGTTAAAATATATTTTTTAATTAATTTAAAAAGAGAGTTCTGAATAAAAATAAACTGAACATTTTAGAACCAAAAAAAGTTTTGAACTGATTTCTATAACTGAGTTTCGCTTCATTATGTATTAATAGTAGTACCTATTTAAATATTCTAGCACGCAAGCAATAATCAGTACTGAAATTTTATTTCAGAGGAAACTTACTCGTTTTACTTCATTTATTTATTTACTTCTTCAAGATGAATTCAAAGTTGAAATCTGTGCTTTTAAATAGCATTCCATTGAAAACTAAAATATTCCTGCCGTTTTCGCACGGTGGCAGACGTGCCTAAAATGTTCGTTATGGTGTCCTAGGAGATAAGATAAGGGAATCCAGCTTTAAAGCGACTTAAGTATCAAGTTGGTAGGCATATCATTTGAATCCTCTTATTTCGTCCAAAATTTTCAAAAATATTACACGCATTATTTTTAAGTACATTGTTACGTCCGAATTTCATAAAAATATTTCCTACCTCTCTAACTTACAAAACCTACGCAATAACATAATTTAAAATTGAATATTATTCAGCCAATTTTTTTCTCATTTTTTAAACACGAGAAATAAATTGAAACGTATTTTATAGGACTCGTAAACTAAGATTTTTTTCTTCTCCTTTATAAAAAATTCAAAATTTGAATACTCTATGCATTTTACGAGAAATGACGCATGAAAATTGAGCAAAAAATTTAATATGAAGAAAATCCAGTTTTGTGAAAAAGAAAAGTGTTTGTGATTTAATTTTTTAATATTTAAAAAATTATTTGAACGCTGCATTATCTAGGCTCATAAAAATTTGTGAAAATTGAGAATTATTAAATTGATTTATTGAGGAAAAATTACACCAAATTAGCATCTAAAAAAAAATATTAATGCCGCTTTTCCTTACTGCAAGAAGGTATATAGTTTAAATTTAATCTGTGCTTCCAATTTTAAGGTACTGATACTATGGCTTTATTTTTCTTGGCTGAAGATCTAAATTGAAGAAGAAAAATAATCACGCAATTGTTAGAGGTTAATGGATTACGTAAATTTGAAGCATGTACTTATTATTAAATGAATGCAAGGCACAATCTTTGTTTTCTAATATCAACTTTAAAGCTAATTTGGATTTAAAAAAATTTAACCTGTGCTTTAGCAACAAATAGTTGATGAGCGTTCGCCTACCAATGAGGTTACCTACCGGGTTCGAATCCCAGCTATGGCTGGAGGATACGAATCCCGCACTCTGCTTGCACAGACCGCAGTGCTAACGTAAAATATCCTCAGTGGTAGACATCATAGGTAAGAGTCCCATTGTCGTCAGGCTAACAGTGGGAGGTTTTCCTTTCCATGTAACGCAAACGCGGGTTAGTTCCAGATTACAAGTCAAAAAGCACCCCAAGGAAAATTTCTCCCAATTCTTGGTCCAGGAGTTCCCTTGTCTTCTGGATTGAGTTCGAAATTATAACGATTTGGTATAAATTATGAGGAACATTAGTAGTCGTAAAAACAAAAATTGGGTCGGCTGTTCAACGACGATTATAAAATAAAATAAAATCGAACCTCGAGTCATATTGTCACAAATCATACGTTGTAAATCATTAAAAATTTAAGTCAGTGTATTTCTAAACTTTTTTAACACGTTTGTAATCTTAGATTTTAAATAAATACCACGGGTGGCATTTCGTTAATCCTCGACCAGGCAGTGGCAACCGGACTTGCACCCTGGTCTATCGCTGCAGCGACACAAATTAACCCTATGCCCCATTTGTGGTTGGTCGAAAAATTTAACCTTATAAGGAGGTCGAGTTCAAAAGTGCTTTAAACATGTTTACTTAATATTTGAACAGAATCGAGAATATTTGAACAGGTCGAGTTCAAAAGTGCTTTAAACATGTTTACTTAATATTTGAACAGAATCTCAAGTTTTAAGGCCGGGATAGCCTGGTCGGTAGGGCGCTGGGCCCATGTTCGAGAGTTCGAACACCGCCGGCGTAGTAAAGTGACTGATGCACTTTAAATCTGTCGAGTCGCACTAGTCCTCCATGTTCCCATAGCAAATCAGTACCTCTGGGGGTACTGGATTGGAGATCGATCGTTCTCCGATTCAGGTCAAAATTACGATCTGTCGATGAATGAATGGATGCATGAATGGGTTCACCTTATAAACAAGTGTGACTTATGATGTGGCAGAAGTCGAATTCTTGGCCATAGATGGCGCCACTGAAAAACAAGAAACGCACACTCTCCCTTAAATTTGATCAGTTTCATCAAGCAGGCTTGCCCGTGTGGCAAGTGGCATTAGAACCAACCAACAGAATATCAAGAACCTACATTCACTGCTTCATTCAATTGAAGAGCAAAAGTACAGGTTAAAAAATACAATATCCTAAAGCAGTAGGCGTAAATATGTGCAATTAAAAAGTGGAAGTAAATCTGTGTAAATATGCATTAATATGTGCAAAATGAAATGACACAAAAAATGAAAGCTTGGAAGTGTTTATTACAAAATAGCACAAACACACAGCTTGTCTTCGACATTATTTCCAGTTTTTTGTTTTTATTCGTTTACAATCACACTCTGCTATGTAATAGGAAATGCTCTTTCAACATATGACATATGCAACACATGAGACAGAGTTCAACGTTCTTCATAGAAATATGAATATAAATAGAATTTCATAGCATTATAATAGTTAAGAGCATTTTTGAAATATTCTTTCAGATTTTATTACACGCTTATTACAAAGGTATAATTAAAGAAACTGCCTTTATTGTTTAGGTGCCTTTAAAGCCTTAAAAACAATCGGGAAAAAAAGTGGTGGCGAATTAATAAATGTGAGCTTTTTATTTTAACTATCACTTCAATTTGAAGAAAGAAAAAAATTAGGAGAATTGAGTTTGGTCCATAAGCGTTACATGTGCCTAATTTTTGGGACAAAATTAAAATTCGAACTGGTTCTCTATATTTGACACATCACAAGCAAAATTCTAAAATTTGCTAATCTGCGAAAAGATTAATTTCTTTCTTGATTGTATCTTTCATGAGTTTAAATCGATGATTATTCATGAAAATTTTCGTTATTTGTCTGAAATATTGAGGGGGACATCCCTCCCTGCTGAAGCCCATGGTTTGGTCTAAGAATCGTGGAAGTCAAAAGATTTATTATTAATGGATTTTTGACTATTGATAATGTAACTGTTTTGATAAGCACAAGAACTAGGCACAAATGTAACTATCTTCTCCCTCCCGTGTGTTAAACAGTGTGCAAAAAAAAAAAATTGCGAACACATTTTTTAAAAAAATATTTTATGTGGCATTTTGTAAGCAAAGTTTACAAATCTGAACTTACCTTACTCTAGAACAAATCCTACAATTTTATAATTTAGTTATATAATTTCATATTGTTAAACTTAAAATATTCTGAAAAATTAAAAATTGTAGCATTTCAAAAAAGAATCTCAAATTTAAAAACAATGTAAGGGATACCGGGCAGCATTTATATTAATTACCACTTCAGTTTTAAGAGAAAAAAATCCTTAAGAGAAATTCAAACTTAAAATCCTTTTTTATTTATTTAAAAAATTTTGTAACATAAGTTTATGGCAGAAACTGGCTAAAAATTAAAAATTGTAACACCACTTCTTTTATTAGGATTATTCAAGCATTTAAAAAAGGGCACTTCTAGTAATGTGCCCCATTTAAACAAAATAATAAAAACTCCACAAAATTTAATTTGCCCTATTTTATTTTGGAACAAAATCAATAACAATTTTATTCAAGTAAATTGTTCAATAAAATTATAAATGAAAAAAAGGACACGTCACATTAATTAAAATGCTGTTCAATATAAAAATATGGCTATAAAGCATGGAATGTTGATCTAGAAAATGAAATGTGTGTAAACATTATTAAGATTACTGTCAATGCATTAGACTAAAAGGTTAAAAACATCTCTTAAGTTTGGCAAAATATTTGTAAGCTTTCAATTGGTAAGAAACGAATAATATCATGTGATAATTAAGTTAACAAAGAAATAATAATAATCTCCCTTCAAAATGTTTAAGTACAAAATATGCTAACGAACTTCACAAAAATATGTCATTAATTAATTCCTTAATATTTTGCCATGACTTGTATTATTTAGAGGGTTAATAGTGTTAAAAATTAACGATAGTAATTTTTAAAAAAAATTAAAAAAATCTTAAAATGACTTGGGCCAAATTTCAGTTAAAGTCATAAACTTAAGATTTTTTGTTTTTTTGTTAAAAAAACATATTTAAAAGTGTTGTTTATCCTTATAGAATGTTAACATAAACCATTTCAGAATAAAACTTCTTTTATTAAAATATTATTTTAAAATCATTAATATTTCAATTAAAATGGCATATAACATATTTAATTCTAGTCTTTTATTTGCATGATAAATTTATATATTTTATAACTAACTTTATACTAACTGCATAAGGTATAAATAATTTAATATAAAGTTGAGAAAATCAGAGATGTGAAACATATTTTGTGAAATTATAAAATCTTGCCAACACACTGGGAGCAGGTTTAACCTTTTAGTATACCAATATATAACCAAATATATATTTAGATTTTTTTAATTAAATTTAAAGTCAAATAATTTCATTTACAAATTGTTTGTTTTCATTAATTGCATTACAAGCTCTATGTATAATTACAAACTTTTATCAAACTCTAACATCTTAAGCTTGCAAAACATAATTTAGATACAAAATTCTAACAATGAAACATGCATGAATCAAAGCTGTAGAGTAAGTGTTGAAGACTATATTAAGTTAAAAGATTTGTTCAGTTCCAACAAGCTAAAAATAAAGACCTATAGAGTAATAATTAGTTCATTTACAATTACGTGAACTATTGCTCAATATTTATAAATTATGTATCATATATATAGTAAAATATTCATAATTCAACATATTCATAATTCAATATATCCATAATAAAATATTTAAAATTTAGTTAAAAATGCTTTCCAAGACTTTAGCGAATATTTCAATAGAGTTTTTAAATTGGAGTTTCAGAACTTCAGAAACAGACAGGACATTTCAACAGCTGACTCTACAGCTTCGGTATAAATTAAATTTCAAACTATCACGAGGAATCAAGTAAATTTTGCAATAAGACATTTAAAAAATTATGTTCAGAGAAAAAAAATTATAACAACAGAGTCAAATAATTCACCAGAATCAATTTTGAACAGTTACTGCATTTTTTGAACAATCCATCAACTCCTCATGAACGCACAGATGAACACCTGAGTGCAGCCTACAAATGAAGTATTCTGAATAACAATAGAAGTAGAAGTTTTGGTCTTGTTTGCTTGAAAGACAAACGAATCAGAGAGGATTTCAGTAAAATTTCGTTACACCTCTTAAAACATGTCTTAGTTTCTTTTTATTTGATTATAATGTAAGATGCATGAAAAAATAAATCACTTAAGAACTGGACCACTGTGTATAGCTAAACCTATAAAAAATCTTGGCTAACTCCAATGCACACATTTCCTGCTGTACAATAAATCAACAATCCACTCATTCCAGTCCATTTTTTTACAAACAACTCAACTTCACTCCGAAACACCATAATTGTTTACACAGAGACCTATTCATGACAATGACTTGAAGATTTGTGCTTGCAGAAAATCAACAACCACAATTGCAGTTATAGTTAATGACGAGTCACTTAAAACAACTGTACAAACAATCAAAATACTTTCATCTGGGCGACTTGGAACACGTTCTTTGAAAAACATGTTCTTGGAACATGTTTTTTTTTGTTTATTTCCAAAGTTAATTATGCAGATAGTAATTACTATTTTGGCTACCTGCATAGTACTATGGTCGGTAGGAATGTAAAAGAGGTCACTGTCTAGTGTATTAGTAAATCACTTCATAAACTGTTGCTTTTTTGTCACCTGAACCAGTCACTATATACTTATCGTCTGAAGATATATCGCAGCTTAACACTGATGAGGATTCTTTGGACTGAAAAAGAATACAAAACATGTTTAGAATTTCGGGACTAAATATAATGCTTAAAATTTTGGCCCTAAATACAATATTTATAATATTGGCACTTAGTACAATGTTTTGAATTTCGAAGCTAAAAACGTTCAGAATAATTTTGTAACTTAATACTATGTCTAATCGATGTAGTTAAAAATTTATTTTAAAAGGTTTGCTTAGTGGAAAGCTCCATGTACTTAAGAAGTGTTTTTTTAAATAAAAAATATATAAATGAATAAATAATTAAAAAAATGTACCTATGTGGAAAAAAGCTTTAAACATTAAAATATATTTTATGCACATGCATTTAAATATATATTTTTAAAAAAATAGAAAATTAGTATCTCATCAAAGTACCCTATAATTATTAATATGAGTACTCAAAACTAAATTTTCATCAAGCTTAGAATTTATTTCAGCTAAGTGTTGATAATAGACTCAAAAATCAAACATAATTATTTTTTAATCAATATTATAAATATATGTTATTCACCAATGGTGCAGCTAATTTTTTTTAAAACTTATGCATAATTGAACTTAAAATGAAATTAGTTTAACTGAATAAAAACAGGTTTTTAAGAGAATTCAATCAGTAGTTAAGTCTATTTAATAAACAAGAATATATCAAAACTTTTTAAGTCAATGCAGTTTAATCATTATTAATTAATGTTTATAAATAGTAAATAAAAAAAAATAGAAAATAAAAATTTTAAAAAAATATAAGTTTAAGAATTGTTTTAACTCAACTCCATTTTTAAAGCAGTTCTAAAATTACTAATTTTAAAAACATATAAGATTTTTTGTTGTGAATATAAGATTTTGATAACATCAGTTAATAACAAACACATCTATTCAATTCGTTAATTTTCATAACAACATACAATGAACGAAAATATGTGACCTTTCTTCTAAAAACAAATGAGAACAAAGATGTGTGTTTCTTTGATATTAAATAATTGATACGTATTTTGAATTTTGTGAACAAAAAATTGATAAAGAAAATGAATTCAGTATACTCAGTGTCACTAGTGACTGACACTATGATTGTTACTTATGTAAGATGCTTTAAGACTACAAATTAATGATTAAGTAATATTAGCAAACTGAACACAACTCAATTTGACGATATTGAATGAAATATAATACACAGCAGGCTTTAATGAGTGAAATGTACAGTCCAGAAAATAAAAAGGGCCCTTTTGAATAACTTTTGATCCAATGATTGAATATTCTCCTTCTAGGACTCAATCATAAAGGTTCGAGGGGGTGATATCAAATATACTTATTCATTAATGCAGCCAATATTTTAAGTTAGGAAAACAAACATAAACACATACTTTCTCTGAATAAATATACAATTTTTTCGATGGATTCGGGTTTCTTACCACCAAAATATTGGGAGTAACCCTAATCTGGGAAGTTTGATCCCAATAGTTTAGTTAAGGGAGTGGTCCAAAGTTTGGGTCTCTTAATGATAATTTTACTTTTTGCATATATCACCATATCTAAAGAACTTGTACAGAAAAATTGGGGAAAAATTTGCACACAATTACAAAGTTTTTTTATACAAAGATTAATTATTCCATGCAAAAAACAACTTTGAATTGTAAGGTATACAATTTTTTACATAATTTGAAAGAATGTAATTTTACATGGCAAAATACAAAATTGTGCAAAATCGATAAAATAGTTCTTAAGTAATAAATTTTTTAAAAAGTCTTATTTGTAAGTACTCAGAGAGGCCTTTTTTTTCTTTTCTTTTTTCGTTTTGCAAACTGTACTACTATAAAATTGATATGGCAAAGAAGGAATTAATAAATAAACGAAAGATAAATGTTAGAACAATAGATTTAACAATACCTGAAAAATACTGGCACCATATGGTGTACGCCATGCATTTAATAGGTTATCTTTCCCTGTAGACACAAACCATTTACCACAGTATGCAAACTTCAACGACAGTACGCAACTCTCGTGGAGGTGAAGTTGATACTTATCAGTTTTAGTACAGTGCAGCACTTCAACATTACTACTCTCCATTCTAAATATATGAAATAATATTGCATCATTAAATGAACGATTATATTGTATTGCATTACATTGTATTATATTATATTGTAAAATAAGCTATAATACTTAGTTACTTACCCAACAGCTAACCATTCACCAGTAGGACAATATCCCAAAGAGAATATTTGAGAACTAAAATCATGTTGTTGCAACTGCCTTCCCTGATAAGAGAAAATGAAAAGTAATTAGCATGATATTGTCATTATAAATATGTATTTAATTAAATATGCATATTATCGACAAATTAACAAATGTTAATTTGGAAAATATGCTAATATGTTAAACAAAAATTATTATAACTTTAAAGTAATAATAAAATTAGATATGAAAATTACATATATTCTCATATTAGTAAATTTACTAGTTGTAAAATACAAATGCATATATTTATTAACAAAAATATGTATTTGAGAAAATAGTATCAGTTAATGAATACAGAATTTATCATAATTTATAAAAAAAAGATTTACATGGAACTAAAAATGAATTACATTTTATTATTAATTAAAAAATATGTGATAAAAAAAGGATGCATGTGTATAAAAATTATAAATTACAAAGTAGATCAAAGTTAATTTATAGTAAAATATTCTTCAAAAGCTAAATTTTAAAGAGTTAAAATTAATAAAACTATAGAGGCATCAAAAAATTGTTTTCAACTTAAACTTCACACTCTTGAAATTCAAAAAAGTATATGCTTTGCGTTCTGTAAAATTATTCCTAATTTTTACATTTAAAAATTACAAGAATAAACTGCACAATGAAATATTCCGGAGAAAGTCCAAGGCCCATCCCGGCCAAATGTTGACACTGATTTATTCATCAATGATGATGAATTAAAAAAGACAATAAAAATTTTAAAAACTGTTCAAAAAGATTCTTAAAATAGCTGTATCTTTATTTAATAGAAAATGGAACCAAATAATTAAAATCTTAAAATAATATAAAACTGCACAATGAATGTGCTAATAAATTGAATAAGTTATGTTTGGATAGCAAATGATAGCACTATTACCTCTCTAAGATCCCATGATCGAACTGTATTATCTAATCCACCAGTCCATAATTTAGTTCCATCACTAGAGATATCAATACAACTTGCCCCATCAGTATGGCCCTGAAACTGCCTAATTTAAAAAATAATAATAATAATTCAATTAGATCAAGCATAACTTAATGTTGCTTTCAAATGTACAGAAATGCATGAAACATAAAAATAATGATTGTCTAATATCTTTCAATAGTGGTGAATATTTTTAAAAATTAACAAAAATAATAAATAAATATCAAAAATAAAACATTTTTTTTTAAAAAATAAATTTTACTGTTTGATATGTTATCTATTTCAAAATTTATATTTTAAACATTTGTGAAAACAAAAATTAAAATAAACTTAAATTAAAATTCAATAGGTCTTATAATAAGAAAAATATGATTTATAAAAATTAATATATATATATATATATGCAGGGGAGAGAGAAAGGTACAGTCAAAATGGATGCTTAATATTACAACCAACTGTGGTCCTAACGAATTTGGTTATAACATAAGGTTGCTTTATCGTAAATACATACATAAAATTAGTGTAAACTTTTACTTCTTCTCATAAATACAGGGTTTATTTTGACAAAGCAAGCTACACTTTAAATAGTATAATGAAACTGAGATATATGAAATTTTTTTTAGGTCAAAAGCCAAATATTATTTAATATACAGCACAAAAGGTAAAAAGAAATTTACATTTTTTAAATAACATTTCTTAATATTGCGTATTAACTTTAACCATTCATTCAGGGTTTTTCTTAAATAGATTTCGAAATTTTGCTTCTTGAGAACAATGTTATGAAATTGAGTCACTCTGTTCTTCTGCATTCAGAATTACATCACCATTTTTAATTATTGTAGATATAGGGCTTTTTGGAATATTCTTATGGATTGGCTTGTTTTCAAGGGAAAAAAGCAGTTGCTACACTGGGATAAAAAAAATGCAGTGGCTACATTGGGATGAATTGTTCAGTTTGAACATTGTAATGGGAATTAAAACATTGTATCCATGGGACAGCAAGCAGGACTTCATGTGGCAGTAGTTATAATGAAAGGTTCCGAATAAATGGGAGTCGTACAGAAAAGCATAGACTTTGTTACACACACACATTCATAAAAGAAACAAATTTAACTTGACAACAAAAGCTACAAAGTTCAATCTAGCTATTGGAATCAAAACACTGGTAATATGGATAATAATCTATTGAATGTCATAATTCATGTAAATTTTACAATAGGATAGAGAGAAACTAATCAAGAACTTAAGCTTTAAAAAAAAAATTCAATAGATATACTTCAAAATTTTTATTTAAGTTTTTTACATCTATCCTACTTATTACGAGATTAATTTTTATATCTATCCTACTTATAACGAGATTTGGGTTGCCGAAACTTTCAGGTTTGAACATTTTACAGTTTCTTACCATTATTAGCAGTACTAAAAGATACAAACATTCAATGCTATCTCCTAATTAGCAGCACTAAGAGATACTAACGTTCAATGGTTTATCCTCATTACCAGTGTTTAGAATTAACATTTATAAATAACAATGCATTTATAAATAAAAACATAATTATTGCTCTACCTGACTAGAGTTTGATTATGTAAATCCCAAACAGCTATATTTCCATCACTGCAACAACTGAAACAAACCTTAGAATCAGGACTAATGGCCAGGGCGTAACAGGCTGGAGCATTCGAAGTAAGTTCAGCTTTGATCCTTGGTGTAGGCTAAAAATAATAAACGGATAAGTTATCTGCCTCAATTGAGTGAAAAAGGTAAAACTTTAAAAAAAAGGATAAATATGAAATTAATAACAGGACTGAATCTGTGTATTTGATAATGCAATGTCAAATTTTAATACCCGAAATACTTGTTAAGGAAAAAAATCTTTCAAACTTAAGTAGTTCTTGCAAATATTTATACTCTTTATCAATCATTACTGATTGTTTGATACGTATATCTTCAATTACAAATAATTAAAAGTTGTTTGAGTACATTAAGATTTAAGCACTTGGCAAAACTTTATAGCTTAAAAAAAAGTATTCTTAGTATTATTATATTATATTACTATTATAGATTATTATTATATTTAAATTTTATTTAATTCAAACAAACAATTCACATATCACGGCAAAAGATGTATTCATTTTGTATTTCAATCGTTCATTTAAGGATTCCTAGTACATAATTTAATTGATTACAAGTAATTAACAATTAAAAAATAAATGAATAAAAATTAGTAGACTTAAATAATTACTTTCAGATAAATATTTTCCGGGGCCAAAAGAAGCGGAACAAGCATTTGTTTCAAATCATTTAATAAATAATGAAAGTTAAAATGCATAATTAGTAAATTTAATTACTCAATATAAGATATTGCTAATGCTAATTAGTACATTTTAATAATGTACTGACATTTGAGCACATGAAGGGTTAATTGCATTTAAATTAATTTTGAGATTTTTCCCAGCACATGAATCACTCATTGCTAGACTCATCAAGATATTAATAGTGATACTATTTCAAGAATAAAAAAAAACTGAAAATGTACATATATTTCCAAAAAAAAACAAATATAAAAAGGAAAAAAATTATAAAACTAATAATAAATGAACAACTTACAGCTGCTAAATCCCAGATTGAAATTGTACTTGCTTCACCTCCAACTATTAGCGTTCGACCATCAGGTAATAGCTTACAAGACCTAATGTAGTTGTCTCTTTGCTAAAATAAATAAATTTAGTCAAAAAACTAGTTTTAAGATAAAAATTTAATGAACCAATTGAACTATAGCTAATTCGAAGCCATTTATTTTCTTAATGAATGGAAAAAAATTATTTACATTACTATTCAAACTCTAAACACAATTACATAAGCATAAATTTAAAAATTAATTGAACAAAAAAGATAATTGCCAAAACTAAATAAAAATAAAAATTAAATAAGGGTTAATTCTTAGGAGGGAAGGTTCCCTTTCATATTTTTTTTAATTCCTTTGTCAAAATATTTGACACTGCAATGTGTGAAAAACATAAGAAAATCGCATTATGTAGCAACCACAAGATTTACATTTATACATATAAATTAAATTTGGCCACAAATTTTAGTTAAAAGGATATTGAAATAATTAGGTAAATATTTATTAAAATTGTGGTCTTTTTTTGAAAAAATATTAAAGCAAATGGTGCTTCATAAAATTTCAAATTTCTTATGCAAGCACTTTTCATGTCAAAACATGAGAGAGGAAAAAAAACTTTAGATCTCTAAAGATTAGATAAGCAATAAAATAAAATAAAAAAATTTTATGACTTAAAATCTATCTATTATTTAAAAAATGAAACATTTACAAATAAAATGAGAATAAAATTTTTTAAAATTTCAAGTAGATTAAAATTTCAAGTAGAACAAAATAATGACTCAAAAGAAAGAAAATTTAAATTATCTAAGTTGTGTGATTATTCACAAGTTTTAAGGATAAATAAAAAAAATTTTCACAAATATTCATAGAAGGCATTTAATGACTTTATAACATACAATGAATTAAAAATTTAAGATTTTAAAGCATGCTGCAGTACAAAAAAATTAGATGTATTGGAATATTTTCAATTATAGAATGCATTTGTAAATAAAAAAAACAATCAAACTAAATAAATTATATAAACATAATTTTTAACAAAAAAAAAAAAGGATTCTAATTTTGTGATGACTAATTACTATTACTATAGATTAATTACTTGGACTAATTACTATATGTCAGCAGCATACTAAAGAATTAAAAGATAAAATTAAAGAAGACATTTTTAAAAAAATTTCTATTCGCAACGTATAAATAAGGATAAATTGGAAAAATTATCGATGAAATCGTATTCAGAAAAAAATTTGAAAATACAAATGAAATTCAATAATTAACAGCATGTTATAAGAATAAAAGGTTAAAAGGAAAGTAAACAAAGTTGTTCATACCAAACAATCTAATTGTGAAACGGGACTCTTGTTTGAAGGTACACTGATGTCCCACACTTTAACACAGCCCTGAAATAGAACAAATTCTGTATTAAAAACAAAATAATTTAATTTAAAACAATATAACTTAAAATTTTTTTAAAATAATGGCTTTGCTAATTTGATAATTGCAAGATAAAAAGTTACATTTTTATTAGGTTACATTTTATAGTTAAAGTTACATTTACATTTTATAGTTACATATTTTAAATATTATTTAGTTTATTAGAATTAAAGTTACATTTTTTAAGATAAAAAGTTACATTACTTAGACAAATTTATGACTTCAGAGCCATACATAATTATGCCATACTGTGATTGGCCCCCATAAAAGTGAGTACTACCTAATAATTCTAGTACGTCTTGTTTATTTTAAAAGACCATTAAATAACATGAAACACTTTATTTGCCTTTAAACATCATAACTATAACAAAAAGCTTCAAAAATGGTCAATGTGGGCTTACTGTTACCAATGTTGTTTGGTAAATCTTTGATTTCAAACAGAAAATTTTTAAAAATATTGTGCCCAACGCCTAATTTAAATATTTAATGAAGAATGAGATTTTACCTATCACAAAGCTACTAAGTAAGGTATCAATTTTCAGAATTTGAGGATTAAACCACTGAAAAAAAAACTAGTGGACCCTAAGTGGTTTTGGAAGGGTGGCCGATCATGCCTGTTCTTTTCACAGAGGTTAAGTGTTGCTCATTTAACATTACCCAGCGGACACCTGTGAGCATAAGTCATGCAGGCGAGCAATATTACCCACGCCACACTGCCACAGAAACCTGTTCATAGGGTGGGCCACATTCACACACAACAAAGGACAACACACCGAGAGAAATATCCATGCTCTGAGCGGGATTCGAGCCCGCAGCCATTGGCTTCACAGTCAGGCATAGCCACTTGGCCAAGTCATTGGATATAGAAAATTCAGTTGTGTTGAAAGAAGAAAAAGAAAAAAATAATTTTTTTAATTAATCACACACAAATTTTTAACGCTAAATTAAAGAAAGGGGGAAAATGCATTTTAAAATAAACAATAGGAAGAATAACAATGGCAGGAGGCTGGTAAAAAAAAAAAAAAAAAAAAAAAAAAAAAAAAAAAAANAAAAAAAAAAAAAAAAAGAAGAACCTGGCAGAATAAATAAATATTTCATACTTAACACATTCTTAAATATTAAAATTAGAGTATCTCAGAAATATCTCAGGCTCTCTTAGAGATGGAGATTTTTTCCTAATATTACTTAACATGTTCTTAAAGATAATAAATTGGGAATTCTCAAAATGTTACTTAAGAATGTAAAATTGGGTATTTTCAAAATATGACTTAACATGCTGATAAACTGAGCACTTCAATTAAAGACATCTTACCTTTCCGCCAGTATAGACATATTTGGTAGGATTGGAAATTGTTACAGCACAAACAACTTCTCCATGACTAAGGGTATTGATTTGTCTTGCATGCCTGGGGATTCCAGAACCTACAAGAGCATCAGGAGGGAAAGGAACTGGTTGCATTTGGCCATCTGCACTCACATGGAAGGAATAGGCACTAATACAACAAAAAAATACAATGAGTATGGTTTTCACTCATCAACAATTCAGCAATTTTATAATGAAGAAAAAATTCAAATAAAATTCAACTTTTTCAATTGCTATTCTTTATGTCGTTTAAACATTTCACTTTTTTTAGTATATAGGTACTACAAAAGAATTTGATGAAAGAATAGTTTAAGTAGTAATGTGAAAACATTTAAATTTCGTTGTTAAAGACACTCAAATAGTAAGTTAGCCAAATATTAATAGTAGTAGGGTTAGTAATTTCCTCATTTTTTACACACAAAAGTGAGCAATAAGACACTAAATTCTCCTAATTGAAATTTAGGGGGGGGGGGGGGAGACTCAAGTTTGGAAACTAAATCTTAAGTAAACAGAGGGTGGAGGTTGGCAATTTTGTATACTTTTGCTGTCAAATTCAGAACACAAAAATATAAAAAAAAAAACTTTGAATAATCAGCCCATTTAAAAATTTGCTATAATCATCTGTAGTTATAGACTATTTAATAAATAGAGAGTGTGGGGTTCCATGAAGAAGTACATTTTGAAAAAACAGCTTACAGCTAATATATATTTAAAAAAAATATAACTGATATATACAAAACAGTTGATATATATCTCAAAGCTGATGTACGCAAATTCACTGAAATATCACCTAACACTTTCACACTTTCTTCCACTATATACTTCAATTTATACATAAAATGGGAAATCAATTAACTCATGGTATGAGTCAGAAGCGAAAATAAACATACCCTATGAAAGATTGCCATCAAAAAGGTTTCTTTTAAAATACAACAAAGAATAGCATTTTAAAAAGGAATGTAATATAGATGCCCAGAAAAATATATAGTATTTTCTATTGCTCTTTAGTTTATAACCACTTAATATAGAATAGAAGTTAACTAATGAGGTATTCCTATTATATTTAACAACAAATATTAAATACAAGCTCAAAGTATTTTATTTTACAACATTAGCTCATTTGAGTGCAATGTTATCTTAATCAAAGATTGTGAAAGGTTACTTACACACCAAAATCTCTTAACTATAAAGTAAAAAATATTTAAAAATAAATTATTATAATGTTACTAATGATATTTCATTAACGCTGAACAGAACTTTACAACATAAAACTAACCTCATTTAACCCAAAGCTTACATTAAATTCAAACACTTCACAATCTAGTGTTTGTTTTACCAACAAAATTTAATACAGGTTTATTAAAATTTGCACTAACTGTTTTCTTTACAAACTAAAGATCTATCTTAAGCTCCCTTAATGCACCTGATAAGCACTTTGGTAAAAGAACAAATCATTAGTATAATATCCATGGGTAAACAGCAACAAAACCCAAGTTTTAAAGTAAATTAAAAACAGGCATGAGACACGACTTCTCTTCCGATGTTTCACTTAGTTTACTTAACGCCTGCCTCTGCTTCAATTATGAACTAATTGCCACCGCCAATGCAGAATAAAAGCAAAAGAGAAGAAGTCTTAAGTGAATTAATTGAAAATGCTAATCCTTGTTAAGAGAATTAAAAGACCCACGTGTGTCGAATGCCTTTAGGCATTTGGAAAACATTTTATTTGGATTCTTTCATAGCAAAAGGCTTGTAATCAAATAGTTTAAATAAGCAGGAATTCATTATGAGCGGTTCATTTGAGCAAAGTAAAGAAATTTCTTGGAATTCTGCTCGGCTAGGCAAAAAGAGTTTATTGCTTAATAAACTTGCAAAAGGACTGAAAATTCTCTTTTAATAATGCATGCTGAAAATTTTAATTAATAAATGGCCAAAACATATTTATCTATAATAATTAATTCAAAATCAAAGAAAATTACATGCAAGGTTGAATTTCAAATGCTTTTTAAATAATTTGTCTTAATTTCTTATAAGATAAAAGTTAAAGTCCAAGATCTTAATTAATGAAAAATAAATAAAATAAAAAAGCACACATCTTCTAAGATATACTATTTGTACAATAATTAGTCCTAACATGTACAAAAACTATAATTTGTCTTGATATGAATTTGTCTAACGATTAAGAAACGAAAGACAAAACTTGTCGTAAGATAGGGAAGAAGAAAAAAAAGACCTTTAAAGCAAAAGAATATATCATCATTTGCTTAAGGTCCAAACCTGAATGTTATTTATCTTATTAATAGTCTGACTTAAGGTATAAGTACAAGTCTTAACTTATCTTAGACCTATAAAAAAATTGGACTTCTTTTAAGACATACTACATAACAATTTGTCTTTAACATGATCATAAATATTATATTAAGACAAATGTATTCTTTTTTTTAAGTTGCTTTAATATTTTCACAAAATAAAAAGGATAATCATAATTTATTGTTAAATGTGTATAAATATAAAACTTACGGTTTTCCACCTGAAACTGCACCAAATGGAGCGCGCATTTGATGAGGATCATATCCAACCTAAAATGTAAACAATAATAAGTTAAAAAAAAGAATAAAAGAAACCCATGTGCCTAAACTAGTTTTAAACTATATCTAATTTAATGCTAATTTCATCATTTTTAGGGTTGTTTTATCTTCTTCAAAAAATTCAATGTATAAACATAAGTGGGCAATAATAAAAAATTACTAAGTGTTCTAGTCCAGCTCCTAGGAGGTAGGTGCAGATTTTTATTACCCGCTTTAAAAAAAAAAATTACAGAAATGAGATTAATATTTAGATCATTGAAAAAAAAAGGTACTTTGGTATAGAAATTTATGAAAACTATTGTATAAAAAGGACTAAAATTTATTTTAAAAGGGAAAAAATCCATATAAAAAAATGTCAAGTAAATTTTAATTAATATTTGAGGAAAAAAACTGAAATAAAAAAAATTTAAACTAGTTAAAATATATCACTAGATGTACTATAAAAAATTACACCATATTTATGATACGGTCAAAAGTTTATTGCTCTGCATGGGAATATGAAACACTGAATATATAAGATAATTAAATGTTGATTCTATTTGAAATAAAGGAAACTTGAAGGTTTTGTATGAAAAAAGGAAAAATTAAAGGATATGTATAAAATAATAAAAATTGAAGGCTATGCATGAAATGTTAAAGACAGTTATGATATTACTTACCAAAGAGCGTGAATAGTTATTAAGAGCAGGTGATATATTGCCGTGCAGGACTCCTTGAGAAAAAGCTGCACTAGAACTCAAATCAGCTGGAAGACCCGGATGAGCACCCGCAGGCCCGTGCATAGGATAAGGATATGCTGGTCCTGCAAAAAGGTCTTGATTTTTATAATCAAACCCGTCAACAAAAATATAAATAAACAATTTTATTAATAAATCAGTTTTGTATAAAAATAAATATGGCATAAGATACACTGTAGCAATAGTAGTTCTTTATTTACATCTTACTAGAGTTACGCAATGGGTAATAGTCTGAGAAACATTCCCGAGAATGATCTGAAGGCACACTTACACTATTCCGATCCTCCGCAGAGGGGATAGCTACCCAGCTATGGTAGCAAGCTCTAACAATTTACAATATAACAGTTTAGGGAGGACTGCCAGCATAACATGAATTGTGATTTGTAACTAAAATTAAAAGCTTGAAGATATCCACATCACATTCTGCATAGTATTTCCTTCAAAATAATATTTTGAAATTATGGAGGCAATATCAAGATAAAATTGCAACTTCATCGCAACAATTAATTTTTACAGGTAATGTAAGATTAAATAAATAATTAATGTAAAACTAAATGCAGCTGAAGTAAAAAATATCTATATTTTAGCCCAAAAATGAAGTGCTAATTCATGAGATAAACTATGATAATACCTTATTGACAGATCTCCATTGAGAAATAAGCTCAAAATGTAGAAAGATAAGGCACAATTGCCATAGTTTAATTTTAATATAAACTTTTTCATCACACGCACTAAATCTGTTATACAAATAAAATTCCTCAAAAATATGTTTTGAAAGAATCCATATTATATATGGCCAAATATACATGGATAAAGCACAGAAGTACTGGACAAAACACAGTAGCATAGTAAAAATACAAGATGTTACATAATTGCTGCCTTTATTATATATTTTTATAATTTTTATCAAAAATGAAGCCAAAAGGTTAGGGGTTTAAAATAAGTATTTAATCTAAGAAAAAAATCGCTAAGAGGAAAGTGAAATATATTTTTCAAAACCATTTTGATTGACTGAAAACTTAAGAGACATTTTTAATATTGCTTTTCAGATTCTCTTTGTTTCCTCCGGTAGCATTAAATAATGTCTTACAGTTTAACAAGTTACAATATTTTAAGGCCTTCCACCTCTACATCAGTGATTTCTTAGGTGTAATAACATTTTTATTTTTTCCTTACTTTCATATTAATTTTTAAAAACCGGTTTTGCTATGCGGAGAAAACTGCAGGTGAAAATGCGACTTTTTAAGTGCATAACCGTTAGTCAGTTAAATAGTATTCTGAATTAAATTAAAAAGGAAACATACCCATAGGAGGAGGTTTAGGAAGAGGTTTCATTCCACTTGAACCGGGAGTACTGCCACCAGAACTCGTAGGAGTAACAGATTTTGGAACAGGAGTGGTGGATTTTTCATTCTGCAGATTTTAAATACATAAATATACATTAAAATGTTTTTCTAAATTTTCCATTTGTTAATAATATTTAACACCATAATTCAAACTAAATTATATGCATTAATAATAAAAACATGTGTTTTATTATGTGGGTATATGTATTGGAGATAGATAAATTCAGAATTGATAATTCTCAAAAAAATTTACATTCTAAAGCTTATTTTAAAAAAAGAATCCCGAGACTACTCCGCAGGCTTAATAACCTGAATTTGGTAATACAATTTAAGTATTTTTGAAAATAAATTCGTTTGTGGAAACCAAAGAAATAATTTACGAAAATATTAAAATTTAAATCTAATAATTCCAAAAAGGACTATTTAGTATAGATATAAAATTAAATAAATGTGCTCTTTTAAAAATAGATAAATTTAATCAATTAAGAGGCCATGGTGAACATAATTTGTAGGACTTAATTTCAAAAATTCTCAGTTCAATATATAAATTTAATGAAAGAAATTCATTATTAATGTACAAGTCAATGGGTACAAGTCCATGGAATAGTTTCAGATTATCCAAGATTTTAGATTAGCAAACTTGCGCAATCATGCTACAATGATTCTGTTTCAATAAATCAAATAAAAACACTAAATAAATTAATTTAAAATACTAATTGAATGTTATATGTAAATGATATTTACATCTTTATGTTTAGATGAAGGTGTGCTGGCATTTGAGGAAATACTACTATGAGGACTGTGGGATCCATGTTCTTTCTTAACAACTTTATCTGTTCCATTTTCTCGAGGACTTGGAGCTCCATTGGGAGGCCCTACAGAGTCCTAAAAATAAATAAATAATTCAATTTTAGTAACTCTTTGAAAATTCTACATCTAATTAATTATTTAGAATTGTTCATTTAAAAATGCATAAAAAAACAGAATAAAAAAAAGAAATATAAAAAAGAACACTTCAAAATACAAACAGTGCCAATGAAACATTTGATTATTAATTAATAAAAGCCTCTTAAAAAATAGCTAGCATAATTAAATTTGAAATCACACAAAGTAAATTGAAAATCTGAAATATTTGCTTTAAAAAAAAATATGAATTTGATTTACCTCATTTGCAACATCTACAACTAACTCTTGATCACTTTTTTCCCCATCACTGTCCTGTAAAAAAAAAAGTAAAAAATAAATAAAATAAAATTAATTCCAACTCTTCTATTTGAGTAGGATTTTTTTGCCTTTTTTTCAATGCATACAAACATAAAATCCTTTTTTAAAGACAATTATTTTCTAAAATCAAAAGAACTCCTAAAAGGTAAAAGAACTAATTAACCCAACACCGTTTTTTCTTTCTTTCCTTTAAATTCTGCTTATTAGAAAAGTAAAGTAAATTTTGTTTTGATGAATTTGACAAAGAGAAAGTGAAGAACCCAATATGTACTGATGAAAAAAAAAAATTTCTATCAGTGATTACGGAGCAGCCCTCCATGCGGAGTATTTTACGAAAGAACGTCAGTAGAAAAAAAAAATCATTAATCTTTCTAAATTAGCACCTTTTTTAATTACCTGAAAAACTTAAAAATCTCATTCCAGAGACCCTTAGCAACGTTCTAATTACTTTTAAGGAACGTTTAAAGTTGTAAACAAAGGGTACATCTGGCTAAACTTAATCAAACAAACCATGGACAATGGTGCAATTGAACTATTTCTTTAATGCATGCTCAAAGTGATAATAATTAAATTATCAAATGAAATGTTTTATCGGGTGTTTTTTCCTCTCGTAATTAAGCTTCTTAATAAAGATTTTAATTAGATATTTTTTGCTTAGGAAGAAAACTGAAAAACACTGCACGAAAAAATGCAAATTAAGTCAGCAAATAAACTTCTAACTACTCGACAAAATATAATTAAAGCAGGAAAAAGTATGAAAGGCTTTTAAGAAAATGACAGAACACAAAAGAAATGCCTTCTTTTTAGTGTAGTGATTAAAAAAAGATAATTACTTTTTCAATTTGATCAATTAAGATGAATGAATAATATTTTCTTTTCATTTAATTTGCTGCCTTATTACAGCCCTAAATAAAAATTATTAAAGTGAAAAAAAAGAAGAAGAAAAAATGATTAGTTGTGCTTCATTATCATTAAATAAATACTACAAGCAGTAAAATAAAAAAAAGACAATATAAATTTAAGTAGATTTTTCTTTAAAATACAACTAAAAAAATTAAAAAGGGTACTTCAATTTTAAAATTAGTTTTTATTAAAAGTAAGTCTACTTACTTTAATTAATGAAAAATAATTCTAATTTTAAACTTTAAAAAAAAACGCAATTTAAAATAAATTTGAAAAGTCCACAGAATTAAACAAATCTATTAATATAAAATACGTTATTAATATTTTAATACAATAAGTTATATCTTATTAGTACAAAATTTAACATTAATTATAATCAATTATAGTAGAATGAATGATTGTGTATAAATGAGTAATCAATGGGAGTAAAACCTTTGCAATAAAAATAATTTCAAGTCTTTCTAAAAAAAAAATTTCTTTCTTATTTAATATATCTTTAATGGTAAATATAATTATTGGAAAACGAAAAATGAAGCATTAAAAATAAAAATAAAATTTCAGGTAAATTAAATTGTTGCAAGAATGAAAAATCAAGACTTGAAAATTAAATTGATTAAATTACTAGTATGAAATTTTGATAAGAATTAAATTACCATCAGTTTTTCTTCCTTTTTTCTTTTCTTCATATCATGATCTACATCAGGGGACCGGGATCGAAATTTTTCTCTATCATTTGGTGAAATAGAATTCCTCTGCAAATTAAAATGATAATAAATTAACAGTAAAATAAAAAGTTCAAAATCCATATTTCCTCTAATTCAAAAACAAATTATATTTTAAAAACAGTTTACACTTTCAAGTTTCATTCGAAGTTCAAAGAACTTCATAAATAACACCAAAAAATTTCTTGATATTTTTATCCATTACATGGGTGTTGTAATTTTTATAATATAACTGTCGTAAGTTTGTAACAGTTATTCACAGGGTTGCAAACTTTCTATGCTTTTTGTAAAAATGTATTCTAGTGATACCTAAGTTTGTTTCAATGCATTATTTTGTATTCATTTGAACTTATTTTGTATTCATTTGAACTTTTTTTCCACACCACACTACATATAAATGATTTAAAAGTTCATATGCAACACTTCTTTGTTCTAGCTCTTTGGGGTAAGGCTTTTAAAATGTTGGCAAAATTACCAAAAACATCTGAAAACTTTGGTTATTAAATGATATGCACAAAGCGTAGTAGTTTGCAGGCTTTTATTCACGAATTTCGAATTTATTCACGAAATTTCGGCATTATCTGAGCTCATAAAAACTAGCAAAAATTAAGAATTTCTCATTGATTTTAATTCAATATCATTCCCTTAGGTGAAAAAATCTCGCCAAATTGGCGATTTTTAAAAAGTTTAATGATAATTTAAATATTTAAGATAGTTGCCCGTTCTAAAGCCCATATATTTCTTAACAACCTAATAGTACATATAGTTTAAAATTATAGCTTTGGTTTGGTTTTAAGTGACTTAAAAAACTGTGGCAGCGTTAGTAAACGTAACGCACGACAGGTAGATATTGCGAGATGAAATTTTTATTCGATCCCCTAAGACATCTCTCTATCCTGGCAAGTAGCAAATGTTGGAGAAGTAAAGTATATCACGGGACGTAGAAGAGAAAAGAGGAGGGTAAAGATGAAAGACTTCATCTTTCTTTTCCTCTGGTTTCTGTCATTAATCTCCAGAGATGCTCAGAGAACACTTCAGAGACTTCATTAATGCTTAAGCATCTGCAGATTCCAATATTCCTCAAGAGCTACTGCATCTACTTCGGTGGAGAGTGAGGTAAAAGGGTTCCTTTGATTTCGGGTGCTGCAAGATATGCCCCCCACTCCTCTCTCTAAAATAATGAGATTGCCATTGTGATAGATGTGTGTGAGATTCGTAGTTATAGGTTAGATTTCGTGGTAACAAGGGAGGAAAAAAAAATTAAGAGAAATTTCAGCACATACAAATTGTGGTCTAACGAATCTTTTGAACAATAGTCTGATTTTACTGTTCGTATCTAAAATTCGAAACAAATTTGAAGATTTTGAGAGAAGTTAAACATTAAAAGAGATGACAGACATTTTAACAGTTAAAAATTTGGTTTTAAGTTAATTCAGTTATAAATCTGACTTTGAAACTTATTTTTTATTTATTTATTTTATATTTTCATCAAATAAATTAAGATTCGAATGTTCCGCTTTTGTTTCGATTTGTGATAAAAATTACGATTGATTCAGGTTATATTTATCACTAGTTATTTGATCATCACTAGAAATCTAGACTACTTAATAATCACCAAGAAAAAGATATCGTATTCTTCAAATACTGAATTTGGTGCTTTCTTTATTATTATTTAAAAGTAATTTTAAAAATAAAAAACATTAACATCGCTTTTAAGTTTTTATAAGTAAATCAGTATTTAATTGTTTAAGCCCTGTTTTAATGACAGTTTAGAATTGATGCAAGTAACGGTATTAAAGGAAAATGATCATTGTATCGCAATTTTTGGTTATGCCAAACTTCATATTTATTTATTTAGAAATTTGTTTCCATCCATAAGATGAATTAGGCAGTTCCCATAATAATTCTTTCCTAAAAATCTTGGATCGGTGCGGTTCATCACAATAAAATGCTCGATAACGGTATCCAGAAAAAAACAGTCGTTATATCCAGAAAAAACAGTCGTTATATCGAATATATTTTATAACATTTGTTACGTAATATTCCCTATAATGATCAATAAAGAGGTACAGGCAAAATGATTATTAAATTGATTTTGGACTGATTTATCAATCAGTAAAAAATATTAACTCATTACGTTGTTTTTTCCAGTAATCAAAAGGGCGTGTTTTTAAAACTCATAGCTTCGTTTTTTAAAAAAAAATTATAATAATACATAAAAAAAAAACCTGAAATAATTTTAAACTGAAAGGCATATAAAAGGGGTTAACAAAGAGGGTTAAACCCTGGTAGGAAAATAATCCCTTCGTTCTCCCTTCCAAAGAAGGATGGTATAATAGGGTGCAGCAGTGCATGCATAAAACGATTATGAAGTGCTAAGGATGGTTGCGACAACAGCTGCTATTTCTTTATGGGTGAAATCCATCCCATTCATCAGGAAGTGCTGATTCAGACCTTCTTTTTTTTAAAAAAACACTTTCAAATTAAATCAGTCAGTTTCGAACCGTTGAAAAGAATCATAAATGCGATTTTAATTTTAAAAGATTCCTGGTTTTTACGCCAAAATAATGTTTTTTTTTAAGTGTAACACAAGTTTTTTTCTTCCTTTTAATGAATCACATTAGCTTTTAATTTCAAAATAAAAACTATAACTACCAGAAATGCAAAATTGGAATTTCTTATAATGATTACATAGTTACTTTGATATCTAGCTAAAATTAGCAGTCTATCATACTAATTAACACTCCAAAACTAGGTATACTATCATGCAAAACGGATTTTGAAAACAGCCCAGTGATACCTGATAAACCAGACAAGGTAGCACAGCAGAATCTGATAAACAAAGCAAGCACAGCAAAGTGTTAACGACGTAGTCCCTCACCACTTCTCCATAGCCCGTGGAAATGCATTTTACCTTGATTTGCCCCTCCCAGGCACAATGATTTTTGTTGTTCTGTTCTTTCATCTTAATTTTTATTTTCACTCTGCTACTGAGCTTTTCTAGTTTTGTTTCATACCAGTATATTTTATTTTCCGCTGGTAACTTTTCAATTTATATTTCAAATCACTTTTTCTTCTATTTCACATCTGGCAAGTCTTGAAAATGGGCTCCTATTTTTAAGCGCTTCAAACATGGTGACTGTTATTTCCAATCTATACATTATTGAAGCAAATGAAGTTTTTCAAGTAATACCTAATCATATCAAAAGAGTTTATATATATATATATAAAGGGGGGAAACGAATCCCAGCGATGGTGGTCGATACGAATTGCGCACCTGGCTCACTCCGACCACAGTGCTGACGTAAAATATATTCAATGGTAGATAAATCATAGTTTAGAGTCCCCTTGCCATCAGAATAACCATGGGATGTTTTCGTGGTTTTCCTCACCATGTTACGCAAATGAAGGTTAGTTCCATCAAAATGTTCTCCACCAAGGCACAATTTATCCTAATACTTGATTCTGGAGTTCCATTGTCTTCTGCATTGGGTTCAAAATTACAAGGCTACGACGTTGAGCATTGGTAGCAGAAAACTCAAAATTTGGTTATCTTTTCAACGACGGTTACAATATAAAATTAAAAAAAAAAAAGATTTAAAAGTTTAAAAAAAAATTTGAAAATATAATACTTTTATTTGGTGTAATTTGCAACAAATTTGCCAATTTTATTTCCTAACAACTATACCTTTTTTTAAAATTCCAAAATCAAAAAAATAAAATTCCATTCTTAACATAAGGAAGGGACATAAATTCTTTCTCACGCCCTACTCAAAATCCCCTTCCAAAAAAATGAAAAGGTTATTTCTCTTCAGCATCAGACAGATCTCCTTCAAAAACTCAAAAGAAAAACGACACATATATACATTTGAGAGGTCAGGAGGAGGGGTGTGGGTTGAGTTTAGAAAGAAAGAAAAAAAAATTCGGGGCGTGTGCCTTTTAAAAAGGGAGATCAAGTATCTGAGCTATCTAAAGCTCACATCTCCTCCACCAACTGTTGCTACACACTTCAATGCTTTCAATCCTCCATCTGGAGGCCAGTATATGGTAAACATTAACATTACACTATCGTTTTCGAAAAGAAAAGGGGGGGGGACTACAACGACCCCTCTTTAAAAACAAAGAAGGTGCTTTCAGCAGCACTTCCGGGGAGGCGAACAGACATGAAGGAAATACTTTTTTTTATTTGCTAAAAAGATACACACACATCTATCAGCAGGGTTAGGAAAGAATGATAAGTGTAAATAATACCATACTGCTAGAATAACACCAAATTGGAATTAGAGGGGTGGGAAAGACAAATTAAAAAAAATAAATAAAAAAAAAACAGGAGGTGTATCCAAATCTTTCAACAAAAAAATAAGCACCTTTTAAGCACTCAAAAATATTTTTTAAACACTTTAACAAAATACAAAATAATTTTCAAAGACTTTGGATGATAAAATAACTGGTCTCTGACAAATAATTAGTTTTCTTGATTAATAGAAAACCATAAAAAGATCGAGATATTTTTCGGTTCGATTTCAGAGGGTGGAAAATGAAACCTGGATTTGAGAATATCTTGCAAAATACAGCATCTGGAGTTGCACATGAGAGTGCAATAATCTAATACTAGGCGAAAATCGACACGGTAAAGAAAAAATTATCGATTAGGAAAAGGGAAAATTAAGTACTTTTTAAAAACAGCCAATGAAAAAAGAACCTTTAAGGGCTTTTAAAAACAAAAATCGAAAATAAGCACCTTTAAGTACTTTTTAAAAATGATACACACCATGAAAAAAGAACAAAATTTAATATATTATGAATATGCTATTTTCATAATTGCTGAGTGAATTTGCAACTGTTATTCATGACTGTTAATCTCATGTTTTTTTTGTTCTTTTTTTTTGTTTAAAGAAAAAAAAAACTACAAATATTTTAAAATTATTATTTTTCTTATTCTTTCACGATATCCATTCCATAATAATTAATAATAATAGTAATAAGTGAAGGTCTAATTTATATAGTGATTCAACTCCACCTGTTTAAAA